AAACACAGTCCAAATATTAGCGAAAATACTGCTGGAAAAAAAAAAAAAGTTTCCATTTGGAGATTTCCTGCTAAACTTCACAATGATGAAGGAAAACAGTTCTGGTTAAATAATACAATCAAGTTGTAATATTTGGCCTGTACTATTAAAGGAGGAAGTTAGCTGCTTTGCAGGCTGTCAGTGAGGGTGGGTGGGCTCCACCTGGAATGTTGTACTGTCTGGTCTACATGATAAACATTAAGTCTTGGGAACAGGGAGAATTAGTGACCTAAAGACCCCAACCAAAACCCCAGGTGCCACCACCCAGTTAGCAAGAAGACCATGCAGAGTGCTCAGCCCCATAAATTTTCCATTCAGTGAAACCCTTACAAACCTAAGTCCCCTAGCTAGACAGTGGCAACTCATTCAGTACACTCTCAGAGAGAAAAGCTTTTGCTCTGATTCCTTTGCCAACAAATGAGCGTTAAATTTGGGGCCTCACCATTAAATTCTTTCCATGATTGGGACAAGAACCGAAGAGGACAGGCCCCTGCATGGCTTGTCCTGGATCAGTGGGGTGTTTTCAGTGAGTCTGAGCAGCTGTCCAAATATCCAGGTTTGTGGTGGCTGCAATGGCCCTGTCTGGCCAGGCACAAGCTGTATTACTTTCCTTACCTTCTCAGGGAGCCAAAGGAGTCTCCTAGTCTGGATGCAAACTGACTACTTTACCAAGGGTCCAAACTATGTCACTGACACCCTGGCACCACCCACGCCTAAGGAGACAAAGTATGCAGCGTCATGGTCTGAACTCCACCCGCTGTCCTGAGTGAGGGGTGCTGAGGAGGCGTGGCTTGGCCCCTCCTCACCACTCTCTCTGCTGCCTTAGAGGGGAGACAAGCCATCCTTTGCCTGCAGTCCTTGGAGTGGATCCTGAGACACTGGGTGTTCTTGTTCCCCCAGACACTGCAAAAACAGCTTGCCTTCTTCTGTACCAGTGCCTGGCCCCAGCACATACTTGGCAATGGTGAAACTTTGGCCCCTACAGCATTCTCCAGCTAGACCTCTTCTGCCATAGTTGAGGGGAAGAGGGAGGTACTGAAGCCAGGGACCCACTTAGCTGGTCTGTTCTGGGGAGAGGGTGCTGCTGTTGATTTGGGCAAGTGGCTGCCTGGACCTTTGCCCCAGTGCTGAGATCACAGGTATGTCCCCCATGCTTTCCGGCTCTGTGGGGTGACTGGGCTCTTAAAGAGAACAATTACTGAGGTACTGTACTGGTCCATATTGGTGGTAAAAATTCTATTTCCTGTATATTTTCCTAGTGTTAAAAAGGCCACTTCTAAACTCGGTTGGAGGAAAAACTTCAGAGATGCTTAAAATTATATAGTAAAAATGGGGCTTACTGTGAGCTAAATCCCAAATCTCAGATTTCTGACAACAACATGGAAACAGGCAAAATAAGATCTTAATCTCTCTCTTTTCCTGTCTTTCTCATGGTCAATGAATAAAGTGGTTTTGTGTGTGTAGGCTTTGTTTTGCCTTAAAAACATGCTTGATTTTAGCAAAGTAGGGCAAAAACAATGCCTTTGAAAACCAAATAGGATCAAAAATGAAAGAGGAAAAATTACAACAGATATAGCAGAAATCCAGAGTATAAGAACATGAATACATGAACATTTATATGCAAACAAGTTCAACAATCTAGATGAGAAATGGACAAATTCTTATAATTATACAGTCATCCAAAGCTAAATTAAAAAACAAACAGAATTCTGAACAAACCAACTGCAAGCAAGGCCATTGAAACATTTTCTTTTTATATGCCACAGGCATATTTGACAAAAATAAAATCTTGCGCTTTTAAACAAAAAGACATCACCCACATTTATTTTCCTTATAATTCATTATTATCTTTCTCCTTCATTTTTCACTTTTCTTTTTTACCATTTGATGAAAGTCATCTAAAATTTATAAAACAGTACTAACTCAAGTAATTGAAGTAGTGGGTGAAAACACAAAAGAAAGGAGAGGGGACAGCTAGATTAGGTGGTGAAACAATTTACAACTTTCAAGTCATTTTATGACAAAGTGATAGTATATTTCATTGTAATTCTATCATCTATAATTTTGTTCCTTAATGATTCAAGTCTTATAGTGAGACTTGATTTATGGTAAGAGTGAGGTGTAACTTTCTAAATAGTCTTGGTGTTTGTTTTGTCCTGGGTAGGATGTAACAGAGAATGATACCTTAGTGGTCATAAAAATGGGATAACATTCCAAAATGTACCAATTTGGCACATGAATTTAAAAGTAGATTTATATTACAACTTAAAGTAAGATTTAAAATCACTATGGTTATATGAATAAAACTTACAGTTTTGAATTGCTTTTATCTGGAACTTTAAAAAATATTCTAAGTTTTGGGCCCTCCCAGGTGGTACAGCAGGTTAAAGCACAGCACTGAGAATCTGAAGTCACTTCTGAATGAGTTCGTTCTCCGCCCGCCCCAGAGGTGACCCACATGGCACGGCAGACCTCCCCTGACCCTCCCGCTGCTCCCCTCAACAGTGTATTTTGTCCATCTGCCTGTTCTGTTCCCCACTCTGCCTCTGGTAAAGCCTCTCACCACTTCTGCACCTCTGGCCTGTACCCCAGTTCTGTATGTATAAACATATAAATCTTTAAAAAAAAAGTTTATAAAAAAATATTCTAACTTTTAGTTCTGAAGACAGAGGACATATAGAAGATGCAATACCTTAAGAGATTCATGGTTTTTTAAGAACACTACCTATCAGAATACCAGTTGCAGAATATCAAGACACAGAAGGAGTTAGGAGTCAAAAAAATCAGTCAATGAATAAATGGAAAATTCCTCAGAGTGCGCTATACTTTATATATTATATTTAAGGAAGAAAAAATATTCTTCTTAGCAAGTTCTATATCCTGAAGTCACTAGAGCATTAGTGTTGGAGTAGTTTCAATAAAATTAAACAAGAGTGACCTGACTTTGAAGGACTTGCATTGATTGCATTACAAAGAAAAAGTACATTATTTTCTGAGAAGTCCTTGGAAATTTCATCTCCATGACAAAAAAAAATGAGGGCCAGGCAGGGAGGAGAAAAAGGACTGACAGCTTATATCAATTTTTAGCAAACCAGAGTTTGTATTTCTTTCTTTTTAAGTTTTTAGTAGGAAAATTTCTTCATAGTATGAATTGAGATATTAATTTGACTTCTTGATAAATAACATAATTCAAGAGCTCAGGAAATAGAACATACCGCTTTGCCCTATGCTGGATTTGTTAAGAAGTGACCGTGTTCAATTTCCTCTGGAGTCAAAAAGCCTTGTTGCTCTAATATGCATCATTACTGCTTTAAGTAAAAGCCTTTACACAAAGAATCAGAGTAAAGTGATGTTCACAAAGAGGCAGACAGAATAAAAAAAAACTTGATCAGGCCCTCCCTGGTGGCGCAGAGGGTTAAAGCACAGCACTGGAAAAGCTAGAGCCACTTCCGCATGAGTTTGATCCCAGCCTGCCGGGGAGGTGACCACATGGCGTGGCAGACCTCTCCTGACCGCCCGCTGCTCCCCTCAGCAGTGTACTTCCTTGAAATGCCTGTTTTGCTCCCTGCTTTGTGTCTGGTGAATCCTCTCACCCTCCGCATCTCTGGCCTGTACCCCAGTTCTATATGAATAAACAAATCTTAAAAAAAAAAACAAAACTTAATCATCGTGGTTAAAGAATTGTGCAAGTGATGACTGAAAGGGCAGTAAGCTGGTCAGGCAAAAAGCCTCCCTGAGCACAGAAAGTTAACCAGAAAGGTTCCTGAAAAAATTATGATCATATTTTGATTATTCACATACTCCCAAATAGCAAAACAATGAAAGGTATTCAGATATGGTTTTTATGTAGGGAAATATTTTCTAACAGAGAAAGAGAATGACTAATGAAAAGACAATTTCATGAACCATTTTCAGTAAAGCTCTTCTGGCACACTACATGCAGTTTTGTTTTGTTTTTAAAGATCAAGGTAGGTTATAACACCGAAGAAAGTCGAATAATACTGTTAACGCATAAATTCTTTTAACAATACTGAATAAAACTGCCCTGCAACATGTTCAAAATGATATTTGCAATTCACAAGTGAGGCACTGGAAACATGATTAGAAAACATTTTCAAAGTTTCTCAATGTAAATTATATAAGTATAGTATTTTCTACCTCCCATGATGAAAATGAGTTTTATGTATTAATAAATCCTACAGTTAAAAATATATATAAAGTATTTAATAAAGTGTTTAATAAGTCAAACTATCAATATTTGACATTATGAAATATATCTTTCTTTTTAAAATGGAAAAGTCATCTACACCTTGGATGAATACAGCAAAACTTTAAATTGTGATTCTCTCTTTAGTCTGATTCTTATCATTGTTGATTAAAAATTCCCCTCCTACCCCTCACAGACCAAAAGGCCAACTAAGTGAATCAGCTAGATAGGCCAGTGGGAATGTTCAGTATCTCAGCTTCAAATGGTTATTTCAATTAATATTACAATATGCACTGTAAGTGAAAGTTATACATACTGTTCTGTGATAGATAATACCTGGTCTGGTCATTGTAAAACTTTTTGAAATAAACAAAGATAATTTTAGTTTGGTGTTTGAGAAAATTCTGATGAATGTTTACATCCCTGAACATCTTCCCATCCCCTGAATGTTTTCTTGGTTTGCTTTCCTAGAATAGATTTCCACTTCATAGTGGCTTTTTAATGTCTTTACATATTAGTAGATGGAAGTGAATTCAAATTTACTGGTGAGTCTAATTTCTAATGCAAATCTTAGTCAAAAGACAACTATTTTCCAAATGCATAATATTCATTGATGCATGAGAAGTTTATGATTTCAAGATTTGACTGTATGTTTAACATCCAATGCATGTAGAGTTTTAACTCACTTTCACTCAGATCAACTACTAATATCAGATTTTTCTATAACTAGGGTACACCTTTTTGTATCTTTATATTCACTTGATTACAACATGCAATTTACAACACCTGAACTAATGCAGGACACAAAACACAGTTCTATCTGGTAACTAGTATTTCTTGGTTAAGGGCTAGTTTCAGTTCCTGCACTGGGCAATGATTTGAGTCCTCAATTTCACGGACAACTTCACAGTGACACACAATGCCTAAACACATTTTCAGTTAGCCTGTGCCCTGAGAAGTCTGCTTCCAGAGTAAACATGATTCCCCCTGCCTCGCTATCTAGCCACTGAAACATGCTGTTCCCATGTGGCAAAGTACTTTATTGGAAAGGGAATTCTTCTTTCTTGTGAAATATACGCCACTTGTAATCATGTGTGATGTCCATGCTACCCATGAGCTGCACATGAGAAACATCTGCTTCAAAGAGCTTTCTGCATTTGTTTTCCAACCACAGGCTCCACTCAAACTGCAGACTAACCTTGTACAGGGTTAAGATTCTACTAGGCACAGACTTTAAAGGAAATGGTGAGTGTACCATTTTGGGAACGTATCAACAAGCCTTTTACAAATTGTGATGACTGGTATACTCATCATTGCCTGGCTCTCCTCATAGAATACAGAAACCTTGACAGAGAAAGTCAGTTATTCCTCTCCCTGTTAACCTGCTCTTGCCAACTATTCATCTTCCATGTGATGATAACTAATATGCACCTAATGGCCAGCAGCCACTTTTTCAGCGAGGTCATGCCAAGTATGGCCAACTGAGCCTTGCGTTCTAATGGCAGCACTGCCAGGGTCCACCAGGACCAAGCAGGGCCACTAGGATTACTCTGCAAAACAAAGAAAAGGAAAGCACAGTTATTGCCTAACATACAAGTCTGTTCTCCCAATATTGTCTTTGGTTTCACCAACAGACATGGGTAAAAATTAAATGACACCTTCTATTTTAGATTCACTTCAATTCATTCAGCCCTTAATGATATAGCTTACTTTTACATTACGTATTTAATTACAGAGTAACTCAAAAGTAAGAGCATACCAAGAGTAGCCTCTTCCTCCAGGTAATACTACAAATTAGTTGCTTCTGTTCCCTCAAGACTTGTAAGGACATATCTGAAGACAAGACCATGATTTTTACCTCCATTTTCCAATGTTCTGGGTCATATAGCATAATATTACAAAAGCCAAGATTTGTGCAGAAGTATAATAAAATAAATCCTATAATAAAGTAAGTGACTGATGTGCACATATAAGAAACATCTACGAATCAATAATAAGATAAAAATTAGAAATTTTTATATTACATTATATTATTTTATATTACATTATATTATAGTATGCCACTGGATAGCCTCACTTCATATAGCCAACAGGCACTTCTGCACTGAGCTCTAAGCAAAAATTGATCAAACTCAATATTCCTAGTACTGGAACCAAGAGATCCAGCTGCTTGCATCTAGCCTACTGGGTTTCCCTCCATTCCCATTCCAAAAGTATTTAGAATCTTCAATGAGAAGTAGGGAGGGTTCACACTGGAGTTACCTTAGCTCTGGGGAAGTTAGTCTACAGAAAAATTAGGAGCATCACTGAGGCTAAAGTGCACAGGGGCACTTTACCAGGAAGAAGGCACAAGTATCAAAGAAGATGACCTTCTGCATGCTTTACAGCTCTACTTTTCCCTCCTTCTGAATAACATAAAAATATCTCCCATGGACTGCAGCTCTCCTTGCCTGCCTATGACTATGCAGGTGTTTCTTTCCACAAACCTGTCCTTTCAGGAGCAGTTCTTTCTGCCACTTGTATCTGGGCAAGCGTCTTTTCCTATTTATAACAAAACTGTCTTTTGAATATTAAAAAAAAAAAGTTCCCATAAACTATCTCAAATCCCTCTATGGTAGGAAGATAAATGATCTCCCAAAGGCATCCACACCCCAAATCCCAATTCTTGAATCCCCTGATATAGCAAAAGAGACTACAGGTACCCGATATAGCAAAAGAGACTACAGGTGTGATTAAGTTAATCAATTATGCTGGCTCGCCTTGGAGAGCTTACTGTCACCAAGAAGGTTCTTAAAATAGAGAACTTATCTGGGCTCTTGGTCTAAGGGAGAGGTGACTGTGGAAGAATGTCAGAGAAATGCAACAATGCTGGCCTGGAAGACAGAAGAAGCATGAGCCAAGGAATGCCAGCAGCCTTTATAGCTGTGAAGGGAAGTGGATGGAGTGTCCCTGAGAACCCGCAGGGAGAACACAGTGCTGGCTGCACCTTGGCCAGCACCCAAGTGACCTATGTTGGACTTCACCAGAACTGTAAGATAACAAATATCTGTTGTTTGAAGTTACATTTATGTGACATGTGATAGAAGGAATAAAAGTTAATATAAATCACAATTAGAGGTTATAGGCATTAAGCAAAAAATCCTAGAAAAAAGAATGATTCAAACCCTAATGTGAGTTAGTCTAATCACCTTACTTTCTGAAAATGAGTTACAGAAGGAGTAGGAAAAGGGGTTATGAGAGGGTTGGAGGGTGAGGAAGGATTTACAGCCACTTTCTAGCTTCCAGCACCGTATTTAGAAAACACTGTACTCAAGTGGGGATAAAAGATTTAATAAAAAAGATAAAAAGTGGTTGAAAAAGATAACAGAAGTCTTTTCATCTGACCCTAAACCGAGCTGGTCCTGTCCTATTCCCTTTTCCTTCCAACAGGCCTGTGTTTGTACCGTAGAAAGAACTAAACATGCTCATTATAGTCCTAAACCACCCTGCCTGGCTATGTCACCCATGTGCAGATGAAGGAGTACTGCACTTAGAAATGCTTCACAAAGCTGAAGCCCATTCACTGCTTAAGGAACCAGCTTCTGCAAAAGTGGTCCTGGAACTTCAGAGAAAAACTATAGTCACAGGCTAGGAAGTATAATAAAAGGCAAGGTAGGAAGGCTAATTTAATAAGAGCTAGTGAATTTTATCTTTTTGTATTTGATACCCACTTAATAGGTACAAGACAATGGGTGTACATGCCAACCCACAAAAATTACTATTTAAGTTATTTGATGTTGGTAAAAGAAATAAAAATACAAAAGATGATAGCTAATCAGAAAAACTTTTGATAAAAAGGAAATTATCTTTCCGTAGTATTACAAACAAAGCATTATTGTTTTGCTCCAAAAAGATATATACTGGAAGCTGCTTTGTCAAGTTATTAACAAGTCAATTAATTAATAAGCAATCATAATGGAATATATAGAACATAGTACTGTCACATATTACATTAGAAAATAACAGCATTATTAAAATAAAAGAGAAACTACACCTGAGGTTCAGCTTCCCTATTCGGCATTACCGCAAAATGACTTAAAATTGTTCTTTCATGTGATCCTGAAGTGCAGTAAACCAGGAAGTAGACTGTTGATAAAATGAATCATGAAGAGTGATTAAGTTCCTCATACTCTGGACCTTCTACCTGATCAAGGAAAAGAACATTTAACAATTCATTATTACACATGACATATACAATTAGTAACCTTTGCTACATCTGCTAAGCTGATTCATGTCACTTATTACTTTGACAATTAGTGTTTTATAAATAAGATATAAGCTCAATATTCAAAACTACGGGTTTGGGTTTGTTTGTTTTTTACATAGTGGAGCTATATTGTTATTAATCTATCACATCTTAATTTTTATCTTAACACTGTGATATAGGCACAAATCCCATGTTAATATGAGTATTTTAATAGCTACATGCAATCATATACCAGATATACCATCTATTTATTCAACCATTGAAAGTACACACACACATATGTAAATAACACAGTTAACTAAGTAGTTACATGTTGGTCTTTGCTTTGGTTTCATCACTGCCTCTCGTTTGTGAACTTTAGCCATTTACACCACCTCCTTAGGATAATTTTCTCATTTACAAAGAGGGAATAAACCACTAAATTTCCTTCTGGTTAAAAAATTCTAGAATCTATGAAAACTAAGATAAACTGAACTATTAGATTACAAATAATATAACTTGTTCTCAGTTTGATTTATACAAGCGACATATTCATATGAGCAGGGTTTTTTTTTAAAAAAAACTATTTCATATTGTAGATACTTAAACTCACATTTTAAAAAAAGTATATATACCATTAAAAGTTGTCATTCACCACAACAGTAAATAAAACAGTAATATACATATTATCAATCTAATAGAGAGATTCTGATTACTGTCACATTCAGTACTCAGTACAGCCTTTTAAAACCTGTTCTCTAGTCTAGAGAACACAGAGTTTAACTCTGCTCTACTCCTCTGCACAGTGAGGTTCTCACACAGATGACCAGAAACAGGAGCTGGAAAAGGGACAGAGCTGCTATCCTCTGCTCACTGGTGTCATGACTGTTCATCGCTCTCTCTAAAATGATTTTTGATGTGATGTGAGTTGCCAATGACTCAGTTTACACAGAGTCAAGCATGACCAAAGAACTCAAAAGAGGGGGCCCTCCCTGGTGGTGCAGCAGGTTAAAGCACAGCACTAAGAAGCTAAAGTCACTTCAGCATGAATTTGATCCCCGCCCCAGAAGTGACCAAATGGCATGGCAGACCTCTCCTGACCTACCCGCTGCTCCCCTCAGCAGCATGCTTCATTGATCTGCCTGTTCTGCTCCTCACTCTGTCTCTGGTGAACCCTCTCACCACCCCTGCACTTCTGGCCTGTACACTAGCTCTGTACACATAAATAAATAAATCTTAAAAAAAAACTCAAAGGCATATGAAGATTTCATATTATTGCTGTAATATAATTTACATACCAAAAGTGTACAGATCTCAAATTACTTAGCTCAGAGATGTCAACTGTACACTCTAGTATTATCATTCCCAAACTGGTAAAAGAACATTGCAATTACCTAGAAAGATTCTTCTTCCTTCTAGTCAGTTACAACTCCCACCCCATAACCACTATCTGACCTCCATTACCACAGACTTAACTTTCCTGTTTTTGGAAGTACAACTGAACTTCAAACAACACAGGTTTGAATTGAGTGGGTCCACATATAGGTAGATTTTCTTGTAAACAAATGACATAAACTTATAATATCAATGACTACTGCACAGTGCTAATAAATGTATCTTCTCTTATGATTTTCTCAAAAATAGTTTCAGTAGCCTACTTAACTGTAACAATGTTGTATATAATACATATATGTGTTAACTGACTGTATTATCAATAAGACTTCTTGTCAACAGCAAGCTATCAATAATTTAAACTGGGAAAGTCAAAGTTATAGCCAGATTATCAACTGCTCAGGGGCTAGGTACAGCTAATCTCTAGGTTGTTCAAGAGACAACTGTATATAAATGCAGTCACAGAGTATGTAGTTTTTGTGTGTCTGGCTTCTCTTGCTTAGTGCTTCATGTCCTCAAGGCGCATGCATATTATTTTGTACATCAGCGTTCCTTCCTTTTCACTGATAGCAGTATCTCATTGTATAAATCTGCTACAATTTTTCTGTCCATTCAGTTATTGATGGAACACCTCAGCTATTTGCTATTTTTGACAATTAATGAATGGACATCCATATACAGATGTTTTTGAGAATCCCTTCAAAACATTTTGTTAGTCTATCAAAGTATATGTCCTGTTATTTCTGTTAGCCACATAAGTGATTTTAAGAGATAAGAGTCTAAGTCTCTTAGATTTAGCTCTAGCACAATCTCTGAATTAATACCAGTCTCCAGAACAGTGGTTGACTACTGTTCATTATTCAGATCCTATTCATCATGTTTTTGTAGGCAGCAAAACTGGGATGGAAGTCAACGATGCCCATTTGTTTACAAACTGCCATTGGCTGCTTCTGTGCCACAGCACCAGAGCTGAGTATAAGTCTCAGAAACATATGACCTTGGGATTCTGAAGTATTTACTGGGAGGCCCTTTACAGAAAAAAAAAAAAAAAACTTACTAGAACATCAAAACAAGCCATGTGAGGCAGTAAGGTGATTTTGTAGGAAGATTTCTGTGCCAACTCCAAGTCATAAAAATCCACTGAGATGATTAAAAAAAAAAAGAGTGATCCATTATTAAGTGGTATTATGATTAAAAATATGACCAGGTTTCTACATATGCAGTCCTCTAGACATACATCAGTAAAAATAAATCTCACCTTCTCATCTTTAAGATACTCAATGTCTGCTGTGTTATAGCCATCTCTGTGACTGTGGCTTAAAACTCTGAACCGACTAACTCTAATTGCATCAACAACTGAACTTCCATCTGGAAATGTTCTGACATCCTTGATCTCCAGCATGCAGCCATACTCAGAAATCCTGAAAGGAGAGGAGAAATCATGATAGTTAAATTTCAGGTCTTTATTTCTCCCTAGATAAAGACGGGGTCCTGAAAGAACAAAAACAAACAAAATACAGGTGTCTAGGTGTCTGTGTCCACACGGGACAAGTGAGAGAGAGAATTGCTGAGGAGGTCTTCCCTGCGAGGCACAGTGGCGTGCCACGGCAGCGGGGGGAAGGCCAGAGGTAAAAGAGCACTTTGCCTCAGTGTTCAAGCAAGTTAGCACTCGGAGAAACCTGAAAGATGGGGAGAGAGAATCATAAGCACATCTCCGCAGCTCCTTGACAGGCGGTCCAGAGTCTTTGTCTGCATGATTCTCTGCCACCCACAGACTTTCCCTCCTCTTCATGGCTGCTGCTGTAGGTCAACTGTGCCCTTCTCAATATATTATATGGAAGGTTGCTCCTATTCCCTTTCACACCTTGATATCTCACCATCCCACTGAAATGACCCTAATTGAAGGAACTAGTTCCTAATTGCTAAATTAGGGGACATGTTTCTACCTGGCCTCAGCTGATTTGACTATACCGGACCTGTCTTTGACTCAACACCCTCTGTTGCTTCCACCTTTCTGAGCAGGCCAGCCCTTCATAGCTTTTTTCCACATGCCTCTCATACACTGGAGCCACACAAGGATGGCATTTGGCTACTTGCCTACTTTCTCCAAAGCTTTCCCAGATGACTTACCCACTCTCATGGTGTGAATGGTTGTCTGCCTCCTGGTGATACTGAAAGTGCCTACTATGTGTTAAGCACTACTTAGAACAGTTGATAGTATGTACTCAAGTCTCACAAAAACATAAAGACTTAGAGAAATTAAACAGTCTCTAAGGTCAAAATGAGATTTGAACCCTAGGGTATCTGGTTTCAAAGTGAACGAACAACTTTGTAGAAACCTTCCAACCGATGACAGATTGTGGTTCCCAAGTTACATGCCTGCATGGCCAAATGCCTGCCAGATACCTCTACTTAGGTCTCTAATACAACCATCTCTTCCTGCTAATTTAATAGGACAGCTTACCCACAGCTGTGGCATACACAGATGCACCCTTAAAATTCTCTTTAAGGGAGGAGCTGTTACGCCATTATCTGCTAAGAGCCTCTAACTTTGGCTGCAGAACGCATGTTTCCAATGAGCATCTTGTCTGTGAATATGTATAAATTCCCTGCATGTCCGGTGCCTCCCAGGGCATCTAGATTCTTGTGCATATCCACAGGTAGACAGTGGAAATCTGTTGAAAATAAATTGCTCACGTTACTCTATTATACTTTTATGTTTCCTTCTTCTCTGCCACATGTAAGCAGGCTGCTGTCTCCTCTCCCTGGAGTGATCTGTCTTCCCTCAGTTACCCTACGCAAACTTCAGCCTGGAAGATTTAAGAAATTCACATTTGTTGTTTCACAACAGTACAGCTTTCAGTGTTACAGAAGTTCCACAGTTCTTATGCTGTGGAAGAAGTTCCACTTCTAGAATGGTTGTTTTTTTTTCCCCACGTTGTTTTGGCCTAATCGAATTTTAATATATTCAAATGCTCTCAGCATCTTATTTAAAAATGCTTTTCCCTAGTCCTAATTATAAAAACAGCCCTTAATTTCTACTCTTAAAATGTTTAAATATGTTTTCCCATTTCATATTGACAATATAAATGTGTTATATGTTTCCCTCACTACCCAAAAGTAGAATGTGCTTATTTGTTATGAAGTGGCTGATTATCTTCTAGATCTGGGAAAATGCAAAACTTAAAAAAATAAGGGTAACAGTGTTCCTAGACTCAAAAAACAACCAACCACATATCATGACAAAAGGAATGTTCTACTTTTCTGCAGCAGGGGAAATAACTGTAAAGTAGAGAAGATATTTTACCCAACGAACGTGAACTACCCAATAATTTTCTGGTCATTTGTTATTCAGAAATTTGCCTTTTCTCACAAAATTATATATACATTTGGTGTTCATGTATATATGCATATGCCTCTTGTTTCAATTTTTTGTTTCAGTGGTCTACTTACTAAGACTTCCAAGTTTTTTGTAGAAATGTTCTATCTTGCTCGGCTGGTAACTTCAAAACTATCAAGATTCTGATTTTTAGTTTTTCCAAAGTGATTCTCAAATCAGCTTGTGCACTTACATGAAAAATCCCTCTTGGGATATTGACTGAAACTACTTTAGACTCATAGGCTAATCTAGGTAAAGTAGTATTGCTACAGAGAGCCCATACATGCTATTTCACGCCACTTATTTCTTTTATCTTCTTAAATATATTTCAATAAAGTTGTCACAGTTTCTCCAGACAGAGCCAACACAGATCTTTCAAAATATCTGTTCAAGGTGTTTATGATGAAACTAGTAATTGGCAGCAAATATCCACTTCCTCCTTCTTCCCAGAGACATAGGTAAGCTACATTTCTCAGCCACCTTTGCAGCTGGGTGAAGAATAATAATGAATTTCCCTTTCTCTAGAGACCTTTGGGCTCATGTGTCTCTTCCACCAATTAGAACCTGGATATAGTGCCCTCGTCATACCCATGCAATGCTAACAAAGTTGTAAAAATTAAAGGCACCCAGAGATAGGAAAGATTCTCAGTTCCAAAGCAACCCACAGAAAGGAGTTGCCTGCTAATTCAGAACATCTTTCCTAGGAAAGATATAAAACAAGGCGAGGTGAAAGCAAAGTGTCAATGGTTTTTATAAGACTGAAGCTTTCTGGTTCTATAAACAGAGAAATGTTCATTCAAGATGTAGCAAATATTTTGAGCTCTTAACAGATCTGATTATTTGTATATTATATTGATGAGTTAGAAATGAATTACCAGTATCTGAGAAAGTACTGGAAGCATAGAGGTGTGAAAATATGAACTGTATTTAGTAAGAGCAAATAATATAAGGGACTAGCAGGTATGATATTTGAAGGACGAAGGAGGGGCTCAAGTAGAAAAAAGCCAGGAATCACATCCTGGGTGCCCCCAGTGTACACTTTGTATATAATGGGAGCCACTGCAGATTTTTAACATCATTCTAAACTGTTCTTTTAGAATAATGAGAAATTGCTGAATGGGGTGAGAGAGAGGGTCCAAAATAAAGGCAAGAAGAGCACAGGGACTAGTGATGGTGCATGGGTGAATTGGTGATGGGAATTCTATGGGGACTACACCTGATGTAAAATATAAACAAAGAAAGCAATTAAATAAAAAAAGAATAATGAGAAATTATGCATTTAATTAGTATGCTTTGAAAGCTGCAAGTCTTACCCTGCGTGCTTAGCAGATAAACACATGCCAAACCACTTGGTGCCAGTTTCCATGCATCTTTTTACCATGAGCCGATAGCGGGGCTCAAAGATGTGCAGGGGACAAGGCACAGTGGGGAAGGCCACAGCACACACAAAGATGGGCACATCTCTGGTAAGACTGCAGAGGAAGGGGAAATGTGAGCTTAGAATAGGGGCTTTTGAAACAGAATGTGTTATAGGTGATGTAAAAAACCAAAGGCAAGTCAACGTCAAGTTTCCTGTGTACAAATAGAACCCTAAGCCCGCCTCAGTTTTAAGTGAGTAAAACAAGTCAAGGATCACAGCCTGAGAGAGTCTCAGTCCACCCCAGATTTCTGGCCAAGTCCATCATATTCAATTATGGCAGAGTTTTCTAGAGATGGAAAGTGAAGCCAAGACATCTGCAAACCTCTCCAAGTGTAACTTAAAAAGCAATCATATAACCCACAAATGTATCCAGCATTGCTGGATTAACTCATGCATCTTTCTTCCAAAGGTAGGTGCTATCACTCAATAATATTTTGGAGAGGGGAGAGGAACTTTGGACACAGTGGTAGCCATTCCAGATAGACAAACAAATTTGATGAGGGCATATGGCCTGGTGGATGCAGTCTGGCACAAGTAATCTCCTCAGTGAGTATTAAATAATATATTGTGTGCCCTCTCCCTGGTGGTGTAGCTGGTTGGAGCACAACACTGCGAAGCTGTTGGCAGCCACTTCAGTGCGAGTTCAATCCCCACCCCAGAGGTGACCCACACAGTGCGGCAGACCTCTCCTGACCCACCCACTGCTCCTGTCAGCAGTGTACTTTGTCAATCTGACTGTTCTGTTCCCCACTCTCTCTGGTGAATTCTCTTACCGCCCCTGCACCTCTGGCCTGTACCCCAGTTCTTTATGCATAAATAAATCTTAAAAAAAAACACCCAGATCCAATGTCACTCTATTAAAAAATAATAATAATATGTGCTATCTGACCAATCCCTGGGGCACATCAATCAGCCCCGAAGCACTGCTAGGGTTATAGTGTAAGAAACAGCAGAACACCATCCAGCTACCCTTTTTCCTGAGGCTGGAGAGAAATCTTCTGTGAAATTTGGATTCCATTACACCAAGACAGGGAACTGTGAAGCAGCTTTCAGGCACAGAGATGAGCGCATTCTGATCTCAGAGAAAGAAGCACTGGTACAGGAATCCCAGCCCTATAAACCCTCCCAAGCCTCCCGTGCCAAGACTGTGAGCACTTATTCTGGGTTCCAATCTCCCATACTCCTATCTCCCACCATCTACCTAAAAAAGGAGGATCCCAAAACTCAAGCCACAGAACCACCCACTATGGGGGGAAAAGGACACAGGAAGGTGCACCCAAAGGTGCAACACAGAAAAACAGAAAAGAGCTAAACTGATTTGAACAAAGGTAACAAAGACCAGAAAAGCAATCTACCTTCAATGAAGTTTGAAAGTCTTAATTAAATACAGAAAGGCAAGTTTAAAATACAGAAAGGCCTCAGAAAATGCATAAGGAAATCTTATAGCTGAACAACAACAATTTATCAATATAGGGGGCAGGGTCATAGAGAATTTTTCAAAGGAAATCTACAGATAGCCAATAGACAGAGAGAAAAATTCTCAGCATCGCTTACTATAACAGAAATGCAAATCAAAACCAGTAAGAGATCACCTTGTCCCTGTGAGAATGATCTATAACAAAAAGAATGTTTGAGTCCAATACTAGCGAAGATGTGGAAAATGGAACACCCAATTTCCAATGGTGTAGCCTCTATGAGCACGACAAGAAGAGCACTCAAAAAAAATAAAAATTTCAGCATTGAAAATAGTGTAATGAACACTTAATAGGAATAACAGCATGCAATAACTGTTTTTAACATGTTAATGCCAATGCTGAGCAGAAGTAGTCTCTATCCAGTTAACAATATACAGCAATAATTTATCAGGATAGTAAGGATGAATAAAAGTTAAAATTATATCTAAATTTTCTCTGGTATTATTGACTATTAAATCTTTCCAGGATTAAGCAATTAAACTGTTCTATAATATTGAGTGATCTATTTGCTTTATCATTTCATTGATATATTTGATATATTTATTTCATTAATAATTTTGAACTACCTACAAAGTTTTCCACAAATATACTGAATGTTAGCTAACATCCTTCCATTCAGAAGTTGTGTAACACCTTGACTAGATATCTTACTGACATGTTTTGGGTAAAGATCAGTTAAGATAAAGTATGTTTTAAGATTCTTGTGAAATTTGCAGATGGGTCAAAGCAGGTAGGGATACATGAAATAGCATGCTCAATTTTCAGTATTATTTTGATAAGGTGAAATAATGACCAAAAATCACTGAGTGACAATATAACAATATCAACAAAGATCAATCAAGTACACAAAGATTTAAAAATATGGCTAGAGTGAAATAAGCCAAAAAGAAAAAGAAAAATACCGCATGGTTTCTGTTACAGGAGGATTGTAGGGAGGCCAAATGGGGGTGGGGGTGCGCAGAGAATAGTAACTATAACAAAGTAAAAATCAAAATCAACAGGCAACTATAATCCAGAGACATTCTTCAGGGGTTGGGGGAAGAAAGTGGTTTTAAAACAGGAGGGAAGATCACACCCTTTTGTGCTCTTATGGTGAAGGTGCACAAGTGAACTGGTGATGGGAGCTTCTTGGGGGCCAAACATGAGTGGATAAGGCATACAATTTGTGAAAATGAAGAATGATGTAAATATATATATATAACTTAAAAAGTATACTGCTAGAAAGTGCTTATTAAAAAAAATCTAGGTATTCGGATGGTTTCACTCATAGCAGGAGTATAATGGACCAGGCGAGAAAATAACAAAAATAATGAACCATAGACCAGAGACATTCTGTGGGGGTGGAGTGGGGAATGGGAGCAAAAAGGGGGGGGGGGGAAGGGAGGGAAATGCACGGGACTATGGTGGTGGCACAGGGGTGATTTGGTGATGGGAAACCCG